ATCCGCCGAGGGAACCGTGCCAGGGGCGCGGGCCTCCGCTGTCCCCCTGCTCCCCTGCCCCTGGGATTCCTTCCTCGAACCCAAGTTTTGGAGGGTCTTGGGAAGCTACGGGAAAGTCATGGGTGGAAGAGAACTGAAATGAGTCCGAAATGCTCGGCTCTTGGCGTCTGTGCTGCTTTCTCAACTGCCCCGTGCCAAAAGGTCTCAGCCCCCTGCAGGGTCCTGGGGTTGTGGACTGGACGGTCGTCGGTGTGTGTCCCTGTGACAGGAGGCTGTTTCTGGTCGTGTAGCAAGCGTGACCTTCCTAGGCGCATGGTTTGACCTTCTGCACGTCCCCGTGTCTATACAAATCAGCTATTATAACAGAGCGGTGCTGTATTTAGCAACACCCCACGTTGAGGTTGTCATTTCTAGTCCCACGTGTGATTTTCTGGTAGTAAGTAGATACTAGGTGTCCTTTACAGTGTCTGTTTCTCTAGAATTGTTTTGGGTCCAGGATTTTTAAGTGGTGTTAGTCATGAAAGACTTTTTCTACTGATTTAAATCCAGTGTAATTTTGGCAGCCACCTTTAAATATTTTTTTTTCAAATATAACTCGCAGTACCTTGAAACTGTGTGTACTCTTGTGCCAATTTTCACAGAGCCTTCTATACTCGCCTTTTCCCTCCTGATTTGGCAGCTGGAGTCCTTTTCAGGAATTGACAGGAGATACCCTTCCTAGACTGCCAGCAGGGCAGCTAGAAACTCGGAGGTTGGCACAGACCCCACACTGGACCTGTTGTTTTAGCTCACAGATGTCCTGAGAATTTTTGTCTTTCCTTTTTTTTTTTAATTTTTTATTTTAAGGATGTGGGATACAATTCAGGGTTATGTCCTGAGAATTTTAACTTCCGTTTTGGCTTTTGCAGAAGGAGCATTTTGAGCACCCTCATCTAAATGAATTTGCCCATCCTGATTTCAGTAACCTACAGGACCTGGTTTTTAATTTTTTTTATTTTTTCTTTAAGAGATGGGAGCCTCACTATGTTGCCCTGGCTGGACTCGAACTCCTGGACTCAAGCCACTCCACTGAGTAACTGGGACTACAGGCACTGATCACTGTGCTCTGCTAGGACCTGGTTTTTCAAAGGCCGTTTCTTTACTAAAACAATTGCTAGATGTTTTTAAACTATCCAAACTTGATTTTAAAAAAAAAAAAAAAAACCTGGTAACAAAGCCTTTTCAAGACTATATATTTGAAGTCTGTTTTGAAGTTATTCACACTTGGTGAAACTATTCACATGAAGCCAAATTTTAGCTTTGCAGGTGTGTTTCCTTTTTTAAAAAAAAAAAGCTTTATAACTTGCTACATGTTGGTATATTTCGTGTGGGTGCTTTGTTTGTTTCTTGTATTCAGCATGTAAGTATGTAACTTTTTCATGCTCACAGTACCCCATGTTAGGTGCTAGGGTTACAAAGGGTAAGACAGTCTCTGTTCTCAAGATCCTTACAATCTAATTAGGGCATCAGCAAAAGATTCAGAACAGTTTTTTATGTGATTTTTTTTTTTTTAAAAGATCAACTCCTCATAAAAGCTAAGGAGATGGTCTTGGATCCTGGTTCAGTGGTGATATTTCTGTGGGAGCTAAGGTCGTGGGAGAGGGTCCTAATCTAATTCAGAACAAGAATAGAACTTTGGGAACTGAGATGAAAGAGCGACTAACAGCCCCCTCAGTCCATCTTTCTCAAATACCACTCCTCTCACCTGTCCTTTGATAAGAGTTGAATAGCTCTTAGTTCATGAAAGGGGGCTCTGATGAATCCCAAGTACAGCCTTCTCTGCTGCTGATGGAAAAGGCAGCCTTTATATTCCAGATGGCCGGGCGGCGTTAACATTGTTAGGAAAATTAGCATTGTTAGGAAAAGCTAGATACTTGATTATTTATACCCTGTCTCATTGCACAAAGGATTTGTGGAATGCGATTCAGTATAATATCAATAAATAAATAAGCAAATAAATAAAAGCCTGGCTTTTATTTTCATAGTGTTAGAAGGCTACACAGAGATGGGCTGAAAGAGCACTTACTCCCTTGGAAAGTGTGTTTGTTCAGGTTTGTGTGAATACTCAAGTTATGTGCCACAGAGCAAAGCTCCCAAGCCTTTCTTACCTTATGTCACATACAACCAGTGGTAGAGTTTGTGGGGCTCACTAGAGTGAGATGTGCTGCCCAGCGTCTGGGGGGTTTAATATCTCTGCACATCTCAACCACATCCACAAAATGTGTAAGTGTGCCTTGACAGATCGGTTGGGAAACTTTAACACACAACACAGAAAGAATAATTTTGTCCTAGAAAATTGAAGGCCAAGAATGATGAGCTGTCCACTTTGACCTTAAAGAATTCCTGTGTAGTTCCTATCATTCTAGTAAAGAAAGGTCTAACTTTGAGTTTGGGTCAGCAAACTGTATTTACTGTGCCGGGCACTTACCATGATGAGTCACTGAGTTAACTTGGGAAGTGGAAAGGTGGCTAAGATGCGGCCCCCTCCCCCAACAAGTGTATTGCATGGTCTGTCACTTGGATTAACTATCTTGCTGAGCCACCCAGGATAGATGAACTAAACAATATTCCAAGCAGTTAAGCACATTGGCTTTTATTATTTAATATCAGTCCCTTGCACTCTGAACTTTGACTTGCATATCAGGATGTTGAGTTGCTCAAGAACACTTGGATTTATCCAAGGAAAATAGTGTCAGCAGTATAGAGGAGAATGCACATTTTTTATTGACCATAAGAGAAGGATATTCATGCTTCAAAACAGAATCTGGTTGTCTTAATGGAATATAAGATACACCGCCCTATTTACTTTTTGAAGTCGGGTATTGTGTCTATTTTGTTCATTTTTGTTTCCCCCATGACGGGCATAAAGAAGATGCTCAGTAACTATTAATTAAATTGATAAATGAGAATGAGTGAGCCGGGCTCGGTGGCTCAGCCTGTAATCCTGCACCTTTGGGAGGCTGAGGTGA